TGGCAACTTTGCAACATTGTTATGCAAATTACAACCCTGTCACGCAATATTGAGTGAAATATGACACTTGTCAGACATGTCACCCCAATATATTACTACAGGATTATGTTTTCATTTTTTGAAACTGTGTTTTCTGACAGACTTCAAGTAAAATACATTCACTGGATACCGGTAGATCAAATGCTGATCCTGGGTGATTGACTGTATATAAGTTTTAAATGACAATAATCAACGACAAGTCACTCAACAGCCTAATAAAAATTTCAACTGTTAACACAAAAATTATCACACTAATATCACACTTCAACACCAGGATGTGGATTTCAAAATTGTTGTGTATAAGAGCACTTTTGAAAACGTTTTGGTCGACAAAAGCGTCCTAAACCCTTCAATTATTTTAAAGCAAAACTGATCCTAAGGAACTATTTAAATCTACTGACAAACCTAAGTAGTTACAAATGTTACAATATTTGCATGTTAGGACTACCGTAAGTTGATCAACCTATGTTTTTCTCTGGCTCACTCAACTCTAGCAACATGATCACCAAGAATGAAATAAGGCTATGGTTCCTGTTGTTTGATGGCAGCCACGCTATCGAATTTATCAAGAATTCAATTACGATCGGCATCTTCTAATCTTACCTTTCCAAGCCACGCGAAAGTTGGCCACGGCTTCTTCCTTTTGATTGTGGTCGACGCAAGTACGTCGAGTTTCAGTAACATAATATATTTGATTTACGCTTCATATTCCGTTCTGAAAGAACTGTTGCGGTTCGCCAGGAAAGATCAAACCAGCAAAACAATGGCGCGCATTTTGTACACAAATATTCGTGTTGTCCGCCATTTTTAGCAACTGACCGCCTTATTAGTTCCCAGTTCCCATCTCCCACTCGTCTGCTTTTTGAGAGTGTTTTTGAATTTCTCTAAAAAAAAACGCTTTCATTTAGATTTGTTTGTGACTTTGTCTAACTATTAGTCACGTTAGATAGTTATTTGCATTAAAATTCAAAATTTACAACACAAAAAGTAGGAAAAGCGTCTTTTAAAAAAATTCTCAGAAAATTCTAAAAATAGAGATTTACGTATTTTGTGGAAACGTGGAGATCTGGTAACTAAGAAACAAAATGGCGATCTTAGGTAGACTTGGAATTTTGTGTCAATGATTTGTTTTATTTATTATGCTTATAGGCTTGTTGAACAGTACCTGCTTAATGTGTAAATAACGTTACTTTGTTTTTTATGTTCTTTCTTGTGCCTCCTTCATGGATGACTCTATAGCGTGAGTACAATTTTTAACACTTAAGAACTGTCAGCTTTTTGATATTTTAAGCTTACATGTTTCATGAAATTTAAAATCTTACTTTCTTTTGATATTGCAATTTTCTAGAATCATTGCACTGTCCTTCGCGGGAGCAATCGGTGTACTTTTCGTTGTTTTGGGTTGTGCTTTGAAGGAATATGGGTGAGTTAATTTATCAAATCTTTAGATTGAATTTTGAAGCTATAAAAATGGCTTTTGAGAGACAGGGGATCAACTCGAATCGCTGTCTTAGATAAGAATGGCAACTATTCAAGAACGAGACGTAAAAAGTGGTTGTCACTCTTCTTTAAATCAGCTATTCGAGTCGTTCCAGTCGGAGTTTTGTACCAGCTCCCTTTTAAAGCCAAATTCGATTAATTGATAACTTGTGTCGAACTTTTTCCTCCTTAGTAAGCACAAATGATGGGTACATGGTATTGAAAAATGAGATCGTTTAGGTGAAATGAATAATTTATTTTCACTAAGTGGGAGCAAAATAATTGTATTTGAGAACACTCGAAAAAGTTAAGGACTTATAAGCTTAATTGATAAACTAATAACTGTGATATAACCTGTTGAAACTGAGTGTCACAAGATTGACAATCAACTGATCTAAAAGTTCATCAATGCTATAAATTATGTTGTGTAAGTCTTA